ATCTTGTCGATATTGTTGCCTATTGAGATAGTTGATAGTACACTTGAAAGTTATCAGAGTGAGATCGTAGTTTGAGTATCTTCGGTAGAATGCCTTTCGGCGGGCATGAGTTTCATTTCTGTTCGATTACTGGATATGCTTTAGAAACGATATTCGGAAGACACGATGACGATCTTCTTCCTCCTCCTCCTCCTCTCGTTTTCATTCGATTCTCTCCTACCTCCTTTCGAACGATTCGTTTTACGGACTTTTACGTTCGCTTCCTCTTTATTGTGTCATCTCTTCCGTTCGAATAAAACACGTGCCCTGGCAGCACTCTGCGTTTGCTGCAACAATGTTCTAAATCGGAATCTTTCTACTGCTTTTTTAACACAAAGGAAATATCTCATACCGCATCAACTTGTTCTATGTAAGCGTATGTGTGTTTCATACACGTGAGCGTGTATTCGTTCAACAAATCGAGTTTCTATCTCTCTCTCTCTCTCTCTCTCGTTTGTCCAACTTTTCTTTGTCATCTAAAAATCCTTGCTTTTTGAAGTGAAAACTTCTTTAGAATGGGGGTGATTTGAAAAAATGAAACACTGCGGCGATGCAGCGGCTACGATACTAAATAAGAAGAAAATTAGTATATTACTCACCTAGGGAGCAAAGTATGGCACAATATTACGCGGGTCGGAATGCCATACTTTGCTCCCGTGGTGAGTATACAATTTTTTCTCACACCTGGATCGAAAGTTCGCTTGTAATTAAATAATAATATACTAATTTTCTACCCGGGCGAAAAGCGCCTACTTTTCTCCCGCTGCATCTGTAACAAACGAAGTTGCCGCTTCCCGCCTTCCTCTCTTCTCGCTGCGTAAAACGAAGTTGCCGCTTTCTTACTATACTGTCCTAGGTATGTAATATACTATTTTATTTGTTGTCAATTAATACATTTTGCGAAGATTATGCAAATTTAACAACAATCAGGGGGTCCGGGGGCACAGCCCCCGGCGGGGTTTGAGGGGGCGGAGCCCCCCGCCGGGATTGGGGGGCGGAGCCCCCACTTTACAAAAATTTAAATATAAAAATAAAATAAAATATAAAAAAACTTAAAAAAAAATTTTAATATAAAATTAGATTCTATTAAAAATATAAATTATTGTTTAAGTTTAAAAAATATTTTTTAAAATAAAATTCAATTAATTAAATAGGGAGTTTATAAATTATTATTATTATTGTGGGGAGTGTTGAAAATCGAAGAGGTTATGTGTGTAAGTCTGTGTGAGTCCAAAAAAAAGCATTTAAATGAAATTCAAATCGAGAACGAAGTGATTGATTCTTTGACCGTCAATACACCTTTTGTCACTTTTAAGAATTGTAAGTTTAAACAGATTATAATAAATAATAACAAATACAACTCTCATAATCAAGAAAATAACTAAATGTATACGTAGTAACCTATTTATGTTTGTAATATTTAACTAAACAAATATCTTTAAAACTTATAAAAATAAATAAAATACAGAATATATGAGACAACACATGTTATTAAAATCATTAATTATATATCATAATATATAATATATATAAGCATGAGCAGTAATTTATTAAAACATTTTTAAGGTTAAGGAACTAGTACGCATGCGCTAAAAAATAGAAGCATGCGCACTAATTCGTTACTACATTCAAGCGGAAGGGAATGAGGCACTTTTCTCCCTGGCACAGATTCAAGCGGGCGGGAATGTGGCACTTTGCTCCCTGAAAACAGGGAGCAAAATACGTACTTTCCATCCAGGTGTGAGAAAAAAAAAATATCATGTGGGCAAATCACACGTGTTAGAAGTGAAACCTTCGAAAAACTAAGTTTCGAGAGAAAGAGACGACTGCACAATATCAGGAGTAGGATAATTGTTGGATTTATTTGTTATAATATTATGATTATATTATTGTTATCACATTCAAA